ATATTAAAACAGAAATAGTTTTTACCTGGTTTATTTTAACTTTGTTATCTTTACTTGGCTTTTCTTTCTCTACTGTGTTTAGTGATTTTAAAATGTCATTTTGACCTCATACCTTTTAATATTAGACCTCACTAATAATTTCCCTTCAAGTATTAATCCACTTTATCTTAAATGTTAGTGTCAGTAGAGAAGTATTTGGATGCTTTGGATTCTTTTATTTTTTACCTGGTTTATTTTAACTTTGTTATCTTTACTTGGCTTTTCTTTCTCTACTGTGTTTAGTGATTTTAAAATGTCATTTTGACCTCATACCTTTTAATATTAGACCTCACTAATAATTTCCCTTCAAGTATTAATCCACTTTATCTTAAATGTTAGTGTCAGTAGAGAAGTATTTGGATGCTTTGGATTCTTTTATTTGCAAATTTTGTAAAGGAAGCGGAATCAGCTTCACTTCAGCCCACATCATCTTGAAGCTGCAGTTGGTATACTCTGCAGTGACCTCCTTCTGTCCCTGTGCACAAATTGATTTGTTTAAGCTATTTATAAGGTGACTTCTATATAAAACACCTTTTTCTAGTTTTCTCGTTATTCAAGTCACTATTTTTTTTAAGGGCCTAAGTCTTACTGATAGATTGCAAACAAGTAATTAAATCACTTGATTATCAGAAAATATTTCCATGGAACCATGAAGAGAATCCCACTAAATAAGTATTGTTTCTCTTCTACAGGTGATTGGTGTCTTTGGTGAGCCCGTTAAAGGCTATGGGGAAATGACAAGACGTGGGCGGAGGCAGCATGTCAGGTACCACAATCTCCTTGAAGCTGGAAAATTTTCGGATAATTTCTAAATAAAAGGAATTCAGACTCACATCTTTACATTTTCTTGACAGTTTTATTGAGTACGCAAAGAATGGGCTAAAGCGCATTCGTGTGAAATTCTACATTGAGGGCTCTGAACCAGGGAAGCATGGAACAGTGCATGCAGAAGTGGAAGAGGTGTGACAGTCATGGGTCATGGGGGGCCATAAGGGTTGGTGGGGGTCAGTGGTTCTGAGTGTAATGTTACTCGGGCTCTAGAAAGGAAAATAACATCTACAGGTACATATTTTTCAGAACCCAAAGAATGGCCAGTTTGAATTTCGGTATGTATTTGTGGAAGTGGATTCTTATCCTGCAAGACCAATTGTCATTGAAGATAATCGATCTCAGATTAACTCAGAGAGTTAAGAGAATGGAGCCAGGTGTGGAAGGATTCAGCCTCACTGTGATCTTCACCGTTCTCTTCCAGAATCTGTTCAGAAGAACAAGACTAGAAAAAAGCATCACACACAAAGTGAGTGGAATAAAAGAGTTTGTGTGTTAAGACAAACCAAATTGGAGATTTTTCTTGTGAAAAATCATGGAATGGAGCCATTTTACAGTATCATGTTGAATTGTCAATCATGATGGTATTTCAGCTCTACTTTCATCATGAGAATTTTTTGTTACTGAAATTTATACATCACGTAAATAAAACATTTCAGTATTTTATGCTTTTTAATATATGATTTTTAAACAGCATGCAGAATAAAGTTAAAACTATCAAAAAAGATGTCCAAAGCATCGTCCCTTCATGTACTTTGGTGTGTGTTTGAGATAAGATTTGAAAATATTTGCGAACTGCAGTGAACCAGATGATGAATACATCCTGGGTAAGTTGTATACACTGCATGATCTCAGGAATCAATCTGTGTCCCCTCCATGATCAGGTCACTGGACACAGTGAGACAGTGCACACTCCACAGTCCGGAGAATGGCTCACTCCATCTCTGCTAGTAGATGTGTGGGCCTGTGCAATTACCTCAACATCATCGGACCTTAACCATTCCATGGTTAGTTTCAGTGACTGGGAAGAATGGCAGACATGTATCTAGGACCATCAAGGCACCATGGCATTTCCACCCCCCTCAGAACTTAAACTGATACTTTACACTCTCGAGACAGGCATGGAACTGTAAGTGAGTTGCTTAAATATACAGGAGGCTCATTTAAGTGTTATGTGTTTGGACAAACCCTAATTTTACAAACTTGCATATTTTGTAAATATAAAAAATTTCACAAGAAAAATCTTTAGTTTGGTTTGTCCAAACATATCAAAACAAGCCAAGTGTGCACACAACTTTAATCCCAGCACTTGGGAAGCCTAAGCAGAGGCAGGCAGATCTCTGAGATCCAGACCAGTCTGGTCTACACAGTGAGTTCCAGGCTAGATGGGGCTATAGGGAGACCCTGTCTCAGAAAAACAAACAAAAGAAACATATTAAAACATAAAAAATAAACTATTGTATTTGAAGCATTTTCTGGCTGTTTGTTAAAAAGTGGACTTCCTTTAGAGATCCTGTTCACATAACTAAAGTATTCTGTGCAGTGGGCAGGTGTGGAGCCCAGATGAGGTCTGCCCACTGTTAGATTTTTGGAAAATAAAAGGAAAGATAACAGGAGTAGGAGACAAGAAATCAGAGCCAGACCTGCGACAAGCAAGGAATATAGCTTCCTTTATTCAAAGACAGTGAGAGGTAGAGGCTGTCTGCGGGAACCAAGCTTCTACAACTAGACAAACGGGGGGTTTTATACCAGGGTTGTGGGACACAACTACACTTAGTTGGGGTCAAGTTAGTGCCTGGGCTTAAAGGTCTCCTCAAGATTATTTACCCAGGAACTGGCAGGAATGTTATCGCTGCCCTTAGAGGAGGCAGGTGGGCTCCACAAACATTTCCTCTCAGGCCTGGGAGTGACCAACTGATAAGGGATGAACAGAGCCAGGTCTTTAATCTATAGCTGTTAGGTCACTGGGGGAACTTTGTACTTTTACAATTTAGAGAATTTCGGCCACTCTGATGGTTTTTATACCTTTATGGCTTCCTCTAATGAAGCTCATGGTTTTTCTGAGGTTTGCATATTCTATCACCCACCATCTCTTTCCCCGGGAGTTTCAGTGTGGGTTTTCCCTAGCTGGTATTTCTTCCTTCTTCAGAAGTGGTGAAGGCTACCATGTATGTTCTTGAGGTGGCAGCATATTCAGGAAAAGGTTTCCCAGCTTAGTTTATCTTCTTAAGTACTTGATTTTTTTTATATGTTATGCCTCCATGTGTGTAAGTATGCCCACGAAGGACAGAAGAGGGCATCGGATCCCCTGAAATTAAAGTTGTAGACGGTTGTTAGCCACCATGTGGTTGCTGGGATTCAAACCCAGGTCTTCCGCAAGAACAGCCAGTGCTCTTAACCACTGAACCATCTCTCCAGCCTGTTACTTGATTTTTTTAGTTTACTTGCCTCAAATATTTTTGAACTTTTTCTTTAAGATGGAGTCTTGCTAAATAGTCCAGGCTTAAACTCTTGCTCCTCCTGCCTCAATCTCTTAAATGCCGTTATTAACAAGCGTCCACCACTGCCCCAAGTTTAAATGATTTTTCTCTGAAATTTTTCAAACTTTACTATGGAAAATGCCACAGCGGAGCTCTTATCTCCCTGATATAACACACGTTGATTGACTACGTGAGCTTGTAATTTAGGCTTCATCTAACCAATTTTTGTTGGCCCTCCCAGTAAAATACTCATTTTCTGTGTTGTTACCACCCTTCACTAAGATAACAAGTAGCAGGCTGAGAAGTTCTGCTTGCCATTCTAAACTAAAAAAGAAGCAACCCTGTACCTCATAAGCCTCCCCAACCTACCTGGTAAAGTTGGCATCTGAGGCCAGGTGAGGTCTGCCTCAATAGTTTGGTTTAGGTCCATTCACTTTTTCTGTGTTCATCTGGACTGACTTCCCACTTTATGCCCATTTCCCTTAAGTTCTGAGTTTATTGACATATATAATGGAAACTTTTTTTTTTTTTTTCAAAAGGAAAAGGCACTCTGTGCTCAGGGTTCCTATGTATAACCATAGGAAAAGGTATTGTGTAATTCTTCACATCTTTTTTCTATCCTGAATGTTAAATTTTCTTTTTTTGCTTTTTGTTTATTTTGTTTTATGGGACTGGGTTTTGCTATATAGCCCAAGCTGGCCTCACAATCTGAATCCTACCTCTGCCTTCCAAATGCCAGATCACAGGCATGTGCCAACCTGCCCAGAAAAAAAAAAAAAAAAAAAAATTTAAAAACAGCTTTTAAATCAGATTCTGGCATCTCTGTCTAAAGGTGTACTTGTCTTTTCTCTAAGTTTAGCTGTGAAATCTAGAGGCCACATCTGACTGCCTAGCATCCCCCATCTGCTATTTTTTATCAGTTAACAAATAACTCAGTCATTTTCTTCAAAATTAAGTGTGGAAGATTGAACAGTAGAATAGAATTGAAGACCCAGATAAAAATCCACAACCCTTCAACTAATTTTTGACAATGATGCCAAAAATACACATTTGTGAAAAGACAGTATCATCCACAAATGCTGAGAACACATGCAGAAGAATGAAACTAGATGTCTCACACTCCAGATTGATCAAACACTTCAACTTAAGGACTGGTACTCTGAAACTGCTAAAGAAAAAAGTAGGAGTACAGATCAGTTTAAAGGCATAGAAGGACTTTCCCTCCAGTAGCACAGGGAATAAGACCAGCAATCAACAAATAGGACCCCATGAAACTAAAAAGTTTCTGTACAGCAAAGAAAACCATCAACTGAGTGAAGAGGCAGCCTACAGAATTGAGAGAAATCTGCCAGCAATACATCAGACAGGATTAGTGTGTAAAATACACAACTCAAAATACTAAATACCAAGAAAATAAGCAGCTCAATTGAAAATGGGCTATGGAACTGAACAGAGTTCTCAAAGAAATACGAAGGCTAACAAATTTTAAAAAGTGTTAGCATCCTTAGCCATTGGGAAAACCTAAAACTACTTTGAGATTCCATCTTATCCCAGTCAGAATGGATAAGATCAAGAAAACAAATGACAGTTACTGCCAAGGAGGTGGGAAAAGAGGTACCCTTACTCATTATTGGTGGGAGTGAAAACTGGTGCAGTCACTGTGGAAATACGTCTAAAGGACTGTATATCCTATTACAGAGATAATTTGCTCATCCATGTTCATTGCTGCTCTATTCACAATAGCCAGGAAGTAGAAACAGTCCACATGTCTATCAACTGATAAGTGAATAATTAAAATATGGTACAAATACATGAAGAATTTTATCCAACTCTAATGAAAAAGTTTCAGAAAAATAGAACTGCTAAAAATCATACTGAGAATAAATGCCACATTTCTCATATGTAGATCCTTCCAGTCTTAGGTAACTGACTTGGAATACCCTAGAAGCTAGGTAACTGGAGAGAGGCCCTTGGGGAGGTAGAGAAAGATTTCAAGGGAAGGGGGATAGGCAGACACAAGTAGTATGGAGGGAGAATGGGGCAAGGCTAAGCAGGGAGGCGATTAGAAGAACAGGGCAAGGAGGATGTAGGGTAAAAAAGGGTGTTTGAAAAAGCCATGTGAAAGCATACTGTTTTAGAAGTTTATATGCATACTGGTTTTTTATATATATAAATTACCCTTTATCAGGGGATAATGCTGCCTGATGCCATAGGTTATCAAATATAAAGCCCAGTGCCAGATATACTTCCTTTCAAGCTGTTGGTCAGGGGTATCCCAGAGACTTCCAAAACAATACAGGCTATTTCCTTTGTCTTGATTGCCCAGCAGAACTTGGTAAAACCCTATTGCTGAAAACACTGCATACTTGGATTATGGAACATGGAGAAATCAAGGTGGTACTGGCTTCAAAGCTTTATCCCTTCTAGCTAGCTTCCATAGTGCTGGAAGGTGCTATATAGTCTACTGAGGGAGAAAAGTCATCCATAGTCTTACCTACCTGTGAACCCCGTGAGCTACAATAACAACTGGCTTGGCAAGATTTTCCCATTGGTGCAATAGTGACATGAATGTTAAGGGGGTAATCACCCACTTTCTGATTGAATTTAAAACCCACTCACATGACAGAACTTGTGTCTGGTACTGTAAACCTGGCCAAGAACCCATTGTTGGGTAGATCATAGATCTCCCCTAGGGAAGAACCTCCCCAATCTTTTGTTAAATGAACATAGTATCTGTCTCCCAATTGGCTAGTTCCTCCAGTGGGCGGGGCCTGACGTGGAGCATAGACTACAAAGGGGCTGCTGGGAGCCATCTTGGGACAGAAGCCAGGAGCTGCAGGTAGCAGTGTGGTGTGGGGAACACGCAGCCAGCCACAGAAGCTCAAAGAGAATGGACTGACTCTTATGGACCTGGGGCAAGGTCCCTGGCCCCTGAGGCATGAGCGAATGCTAGCAGGGACTATGGTAGTTATGGCGCAGTCTGATATGGTGGGCTCTGAGCCTCACCACCAGGGGTGCAGAGCTAGGCACTGGGTACTCATTCCTTTGTAAGTTAATAAATGCACATAAAATATATTATATGGTTTGCCTGATCATGCAGGAAACCCAGAGGGAATTTGGGTGACCAAACTGGTGCAGTCCAGCCAGATAAAGGAACTACAGCCTTGGGGATGTGGGCCTCAGAAAGCTGTGTTGTTCCTGCTGCCCCTGTGGTGGGTCACCTGGGTTCTGAGTCCCA